TTGTTGTTTTTAGATCTAACTTGGTTTCTAGGTGAAAAAGCAACAAAGGTTGATTTTCTTCTTTTCAATTTAGCAGTTAGGTTTGTTTCTTGTTTGGTTACTGAGGCATAGCTTTGAGTAACTTTGTCTGCAGATTGGAGTTCTCTAGTAATACGTGTTTTAACTGTTGTATCTAACACATGACTGTCTTTGTTGTTGTTTTCATTTTAATCATCTGTTTTGTTTCTATATCTAGACATGTTTTCTAAAGTCCAAGCACTTTTTTCATTTTGTATCATATTTTCTAACCAGTCTTCCTTATTTTGAACTACTACAACTGGTACTAGCTCTTTATTTCTTGCTGGTTCCATCATTTCTTGAGCTGTTAAAGTGTGATTAGTATCTGTATTATTTATTTTTTTGATAAAAGAGTTGTTTGTATTTTCTTCTCTTTCAAGATTAAGTTTTTGTATTTTGAAGGTTTTTTCTGTTGGCAGTAGCTCTACTCTTCAAGGAAGCTTTCTTTTTCTTGGAACAAAAGCTCTGGCCCTTGTTAGTATCTTATTTGATAAGTTTTGGTTTTTTTTTGTTGAGATTATGATTGTTGTTTTTTATTCGCCTTTTCCAATCTGGTGTAAACAGGAATAAATGAATTACTATCTATTGTTTTTATAATTATTAACTTATTATTTTTATATACCAACTAAGTTATTACTAATTTTGGCCTAACATCTATATACTTAGTAGAAAATAGAATTGACTAAAAGGAAACTATTATTCCTTTTTTATAAAAAATATATTATAACCTATTAATTTATTATATTTACACAAAATTCAAAGAATATATTATTGCTTCAACAAGACTAACCTTATTATTTTCTCTTAAATATTAAAAAATATAAGTTAATACATTTATTCTTGCTTATATAGATATATACTGTGAATCACAAACTCTCAATAACAACTTCAAACTATTTTAAACACAGCTTTAACATTTTATTAGATAGCAAATATCAAAGTTAGTTCAAACAAATTTATTCTATTATCTAGTACAAAATTTATATTCATATTCAACTTTATAAATACTATTATACAAATACAACTTTTTAATACATTTTTAAAGTTTTTAGAATGCTAATATATAGCAACTAATACACAATCTATTATATTTAAAATAATTATGCAAAAAACACTTAGACTAACAAATATTATACAAACTAAACAAATAACAAATAAACAAACTAGTTATGTTATTAATAATATACCTATTTTTAAATATCAAATATATAATATAGTCATACTTCACAACTATGGCTGTAAACCAAACCTGGTAATTTGGAACTTAGTAGAATTCCAAAGGTTTTTACTAGATTCTACAATTGTGTCATAACCCAAACTATATTTGGGACAAGTCAAAACTTTCGACCAAATCCCAAATAGGATATCACATGATGTGAATATAATTGGTAGATTACAAGATTATCATTAATAAGATCGTTCGTTGGCTCAATTTTTATTCACGTATTCTATTCATTACCTCTGGTAGGATTTAGAAGCATACTTAACAGAAGTTAAAATGCTACTCTATACAGAGAAATTACATTTCGAGAGGTAATTTTACTTTTCTTTAAATTATTTGAGTGCTGCTAAATTGAAACCCGAAAGTGAATTTCAAGTTCTCATTCTTGGCGAACTGATCATATTTATAATTATAGTTTTCAGGATTAAGTTCTTTATAATGAAAACTTAAAATATTAACTTCCTGGTTTTAACTTGGCAACACTCGTATTAGGTTTAAACTTGAACATTAGCTAACATATTGAGGTTCTGATTCTATATTTAAGGTCCTTTTCACAATTGGAAACAAAAGAATATATAGCTTAATTTGTGTTTTATGGGAAATTTTAGCCAATATTGAGCAGAAGATTTGGTAAAGTCATATTGATGGTAGTTGTAATTTAATAGTAAAGACTATTTAAAGAGTTGTTATGAACAATTGAATTAAATTTTTGATATGGTAATAATTCAGAATACCATTTTTATTATTAATGTATAATTTATTGTATTTTATACAATAAAATGTAATAAAAATGTTTTTTATAAAAGTAAGAAAACATCAAACTCTAATAAACGACTTTTAGAACAGATTCTTAATAATAAATCACGATCCATCTCTGCAGACTATTGATAATAAACAAATGAATCGTTTACTAATCTGAATTTGATTTCGATAACGGGCATAATCTATACCAGTATTTTTTGAAAAAAATAATTTTATTTTAATAAAGTTCAACCTTATCCCTATTTTGATAACAGCAGTGTTAGATGTCTTATTAACATGTCTTATATCAGAAAACTTTTTTTTAACGATATTTAATGAATATCTTACATGTATATCTTTCTTAATAACTAATAGCCAACGCTAGATATTCTATATATATATATATATATATATATATTTTTTTTTTTTTTTTTTAATGAATAAATGTCTTACGTTCATATTTCGCACCTACAGTAATTCGTGATGATAACAATTGCAATATTAGAAAATGGTATATAATATTTTTATTTATGATAATACAATTTCATAATATTTATAATAAATCGGCATTAAAAAATTGAAATTCTCTTTCTACAATTGCTACAGGATCGAATTCCATATTATCACTTCTTTGTGTTGTATAAGATAATTCTTCGGCATTATCTTGCCCACCAAAATTTGCATATAAAAAATCAACTATTAGGCTGATTTCAAGTTTGTCATTATTTGATTGAGCAGATTTCAAAACATCTTCATCTTGTTCCAGTTCTATACTATTATTTTCCATATCAGCATAAGTAGTTAAATCTAATACACTATCACGTAGTTCACCTTCAGACAACTCTTTCCCATAATAATGAAGCTCATTTTTAAGGTTAGAAATATAAAATGAATGAATTTGAGCCATACTTTCAATTTTTTCTGAAGACAAACATCTTCTATAGGTGCCGTATAACCATCTTAAAATAGAGAAATTACATTCACAACTTGACTGTGATGGTACAACTGCAAAAATAACTTTTGCAAGATTCTGGAGATAGGGGTAATCATCTTCTATTACACCCCAACATAAACTAAGAGTTTTAGATGAATCGTAGCCAAAGTCAAATGGGTAATCACCACTTTTATAATTAATTAATTGTGTAGTAAGTATTCCACATGCAACATCATCATTATGCATACTTTTATAGAATTTGGCAGCTATCTCACAAATTCGTCGGAACATTCCTTTATGTAGGCCAAGACCTATATATTAAATTAAAAATATATGTAAATGAATTGATACTATAAAGTTTACTCAGATTTTTAATTGGCATCGTATACTTTTTTTTATTTATAGATTGACCATTAAATTAAGTAAACCAAATACTGAAATACAAGATACATAGATCTTGATACGTATAAAGTTAATCTATACTATAATAGCCAATAAAAAACCTAAAATTAAACTATTTCAAGATATATGGATAAAGAATTTTCTATAAAACTAGTTTTAAACTTGAAAGACGGTATGGTACCTCTATAACCCGGATGAAGAAGATAGGCAAGCAGATACGGTTCAATTTCATATTCAGCATAACATTTATTAAATATTTTGATAGCTGATTCACGAAAAGCATTATTCGAAGGAATTCTGTTAATAGCTGCGGTATTTTTACTATACTAACAAAGCAATCAGCAAGATTTGCAGTACGTGCTTCCAGATTATGTATTGCTTCTTTGATAGGCTGGATTATAGATGCAATTCGATGACAATTTGCATAAAATATATCATCATCATCATTTAATAGTGAAATAATGGCTTGTTGACTAATTATATCACGATTTTCATCTAAAATCTAAATCAGAAAAAAAAATTATAGTAATCAAAGTCAACTTTTATTTTAAATAAATACAAAATTATTAACTACATATACCTTTTCAAAAACAGGTTTTAGTCTTACAATAGAAGACATAGTTCCATAAATAGAAGCCCATCTTGTTTTAGCATATATTTCTAAGCCACCACTGCCTAATTTCATACTTTCAATACTATCACGAAGAAGCCGATTTGCTCTATGTGACTTTTTAAAGAACTGAATGATTTGATTTGCTTGCTTTAAAACATGATCAATAGATCTAACTTTTACTATATCACTTGCAATAAGATTTAATGCATGAGCGATGCATCTGATATTCCAAATATGTGAATAATTATATGTAGTAATTTCACGAGCAACACGGATATTACTTCCGTTATCTGTTACATATGCTATAAATTTACTAGAGCCAATTTTATCAACAATATTGGAAATTTTCGAAGCGAGAAATTCACCCATTTGTGCCATATCAGAAAAATCCAAAATTGAGTACAAATATTCTTTATGATTAGAAGTAGAGACAATAAAATTATATAATGAGTCATTGGCAGGGGTCGACCATCCATCAAGTGCTATTAAAAATATATACTATTATAAAATTTATAAATACAAAAAAAGATTTATATTTTTAAATTTTTTACCTAAAGTTAAGTTTTCTGCTTTGTCAAGTAAACTATCTATTCATATTGTTACACGGGCTGCCTCCTCATTAAGTATTCGTTCTGATAATGTAACCCTTCCAGGAGGAACCCACCCCGGCTCAAGTAGATAAAAAAGATCACGAACAAATGGATTATCAATTACAGAGAATGCAATTCCTGCGCAAACAAAAGCTTTAAGTAAAGCTTTATTAATTTCATTAACTTTTTCATTTAATATAGGTTTACAATATGAATGTGGCTTTGTTGATGATGATAATGTACTTTTATTATCACTATCATCATTTATTTTGTCATTTCGCTTTGCTACTTTAATTAAATAATGACGTCTTAAATTATCAGGAATATCACCTTGCAATGTAGAGCTAAATGGGACTCCATAGTTGCAGGCCTTTCACGTTTCCATTTTCCTTGAATGCAGTACCGACATTGAGCACCATAGTGACCTTTACCATCAGATTCACCAGTATCAAAATCTTCCCAAACAGAATCTTTTGGTCGCCCATCCTTATTTCTTCGAAGACGTGTTTCACCTGCTTTCCGTTTGCCAAGCGTTTTACTAGATTGTGATGTTTCAGACACACTTTCAGGAAAGTCTTCCATATTAAACTTTCGTTAATTGCTTTATTACAAGGATGTTAAAAATTGATTTTATTAAAATTTTGAATTATTTATATATTTAAAGCAGCGCTCACTTGTATTCTTTAAACAAAACAGTTTAGCTTGTACTTTGATATAATAATATGCATAACAATTATCAAATCATAATTATAACTATATACATTAAATGTTTCTTTCAAAATATAGTTAAATGAAAATCAAAGACATTTTAAACAATCAGAAAAACCTTAATACAGCTATTAAAAAATAATCGCCATTTAGGATTAATTTAATAGAAGTAAAGATAAATTATCTTTTTTTTTTGACAGTATCATAGGGTAAAGGGAGGTATTCTCACAGAGTTAAATTTTATAAAATTTGCTTATAGCAAACTTTTTTTAATTATAAATTTTATTTTGATATACAGTAATATAACTTTTTGTCTATTTAAATTATAAAATCAAAAAAAAAAAACAAGTTAACTTGTATTTGCAAGCCTTTTATTAG